TACACGAACCATCTTTACATGTTGGGCGTGAATACTATCAGGAACACTGCAAAAATTGGGCATAACCAAACAGTAGCCTTGGTGTTCAGCAATTTTAGCTTTAGGATGACGTGAAGGGTTACTATGAGAATGTTAAATTGCCATTCTGCAGTACCCGCCATAATAAGTTAAAAATGGCGGCGGCAGGTAGCTCATTTTGTGTTGTCGCGCGAGCCATATGTCTGTACGAAATTTCATACCAATCGGTTAAGGTTAATTGATCCAAAAAGGAGTTCCAAGATTTGTCCCACACATACTAATATACATATTAATAAACAGGTCAAGTTAAATGAAAGCTTGTAAAATTCAAGGGGTTGAAAAGCTGCTGGAGGCTGGTATACGGAACTAGGAAGTACGAACTTACATCACACAAAATCGGAACGTGGGAATGTCTTCTCATGAGAAATAGGAAACTCCTTCACCTTTGTAACTTTACGCCTAAATTGGTCAACAGTTCTAATCCTCTAGGTCTGATTAAATATTTCATGCCTCGCCAACATATCCAACATCAAAATATTAGATCAAGATGTAACGCTATCAGAATGTATCGGGTGTTTTTTTTTTTCGAGGTATAGAACTTTAAGTTGGCATTACTTTTGAAGATGGCGACCGATCTGACAGCTGTCAAGTGATTTATTCTCAGTTGGTTTGGCAATTCATCATGAATAGACTCACGTCTGGACAACGCTTGCAAATTGTGCTGTTTTATTTCGAAAATAATAGTTCTGTGCGAAATACGTATCGCGCACTACGTCCATTTTATCGTCGACAAAATCGTCCATCAGAGCAGTTAATTCGATTAACCATGGAACGTTTTCGCACCACGTTTTCTCTAATTGATAAATCGCATCCTCAGAGATGCCATATGGTGCGTACAGAAGAAGCTATTGCTTCTGTAGAGCGTAGCATTGCTGAAGACCCGAATGAGTCCATCCGCCATCGAGCACAGGAATAGGATCTGTGTCCATACACTTTATGGAAGATTTTGCGGAAGGATCTTGGTTTGCGTGCTTATAAAATCCAACTCATGTAAGAATTGAAGCCAAACGATCATCAAGCAAGGCGTAGATTCGTTGAATGGGCCCAAAACGAGATTGCCGTTGTTCCCGATTTTCATAAGCGAATTTTGTTTAGCGATGAAGCGCACTTCTGGTTGAATGGCTACGTCAACAAACAAAACTGCCGCATTTGGAGTGAAGCTAATCCTCAAGTCTATGTCGAAACACGGTTACATCCAGAAAAACTGACTGTTCGGTGTGCTTTATGGGCTGGTGGAATCAAAAATTTTTTGCTTTTTGAATAAAAAAAACTGATTCTTCGCACTTTTCTGCATAAAAAAGCTCTCCTGTGAGTTTTCGTTATAGTTAGCCGTTTTTGAGATATTTCGATTTTTAAGGTTCGATGCATTTTTAATTACTTATGGAAAAATAATTTTTTTTACATTTTCGATTTGGGCATTACAAGTAATTAAGATGATCGTTTAGATTGTGTTTTTAAACACAGCAATAATTCCTAACTCCAAATAAACACAAAAAACAGAATATTAATTTGTTTAATTTTCCAATATTATTTTTAATATATTAAATTAATTATTTACAACTAAAATGCTATTGGATAGTTAGGACAAACATACAAAATCGAAAGTAGTTGCTCGAAATGTAAACCCAATTATTCAATACACAATTCATATCTACGACTGATCGAACGTGGTATAGCATTATTCAAATAAGGCCTTATTTCATCACATGCATTCCTGATTCTGTCTATTAGCATATCTCTTGTGGTTACGGGAGTCTGGTACACTTTTTCTTTTAAAAATCCCCATACAAAGCAATCTAATGGCTTTATGTCAGGGGATCGTGGCGGCCATGCGACTGGTCCTCCACGGCCGATCCATCTTTCTGGATAATTTTCGTCCAGCCAGTTTCTAACTATTCTCGAATAATGAGCTGGACAACCATCAAGCTGGAACCAGGCCAATCTTCTTAAATCTAACATAACATCATCCAACATATTTGCATGTTCAGCCTTTAAAAAATCCAAGAAGGTCGCAGCATTTAACCTTGCAGGCAAAAGGTATGGTCCAAATAGTCGATTACGGTAGACACCAATCCACACGTTCACACTAAATTCATGCTGAACATTTCTTTCCCGAACTGCATGCGAATTTTCATGCGACCAAATATGTTGATTATGAAAATTTACCACTCCACGTCTAGTGAAGCATGACTCATCGGTCCATAAAACGGTACTTAAAAACTCCTTATTATTATCAGTTCTATCAAGAATCCACTGACAAAATGTGATTATTCGTTCTCCGTCCCCTGGCTGTAGTCCTTGCACAGGTTGCAAATGGTAAGGACATCTATGGTCATTTCTAAGAACACGGTGAACATGGCTTGCTGAAATTCCCAAGGCACCAGAAACTCTCCTAACACTTGTGGTCGGATCTCTATCAAACTCGCGCAGAATAATACGGGTAAATCTGCGCTGACGAACATTTGTGTTTTGATCTCTTTGGAGATTTTCAAAACGATTTTCAATTATTTGGCGATGCACTCTTACAAATACTTAGCGACTGTTTGAAAATCTTGGTGCGTATTCTCTGGCTGCTTCTGCCACGTTTCCATTTACAGAGCCATACACAAAATGAATATCCGCTAACTCTTGATTTGAGAATAAAAATGGCATTTTTATAAAACTTACAAAAAAACAGGTAAAAGAAACTAAATTTCGTGCATTCACAATTGCAAAAAAACGTTTCAGGTTTCAACAGACAACAAAACTAACTGTCAACTAATTGACGTTTAACCTTATTCTGCTTTCAATTTCAAAAATATTTGCAGGCACAGCTTACTTCTAAAAATTATCGAGATACTTACTTTTTAACGTTATTTTATAATAAATAATTAAAAATGCATCGAACCTTAAAAATCGAAATATCTCAAAAACGGCTAACTATAAAAAAATTCACAAGAGAGCTTTTTTATGTTGAAAAGTGCGAAGAATCATTTTTTTATTCAAAGAGCAAAAGATTGCACTAAGAAAAAATTTTCGGTCATTTTAATACACTACAGGTACAGTAGAGTACAGTAGCGCCCTCTAGCGGCTACAGTAAAACTATGCCCATGGTTTGTTTTGTCGTACCAAAAAACCCTTGTATACCAATGTTCACTGTTATACATCAAATATTGTTCGAAATATTTAAAAAAACTATTTTAGAAAGTAAATTTAAACATCCTGTATTGCGGAAACCACGCATTTTTCGACCCATGTTTATATATCTAGACTTTATGCATTAATTTTAAAAGTTCTATCGAATCTTAAAGTTATGCAACAATAAACTAAAACACCCTGTATTTCCTTGAGGGTGCCCGTGTTACTCAACTATTTTTGTTATTTACGAAACATTTTTTTTTTACCTTACCGATATCGATTCTCACATGTAATTATAGTTTAGCTCTAGTTTAATTGTGTAATTATCTGGACGCTGCCCTCCAGTGGTTAAGTAGAAAAGTTATTAGCGACTGGTGTTATACATTTAACTATCGTAGTTTCTTTGTCTGTAAAAGTCAATAAAGACGGTTTATTATTGCAAGAATTTAAAATTGAATAGGAAAGAACTACGATTGAATGTTTTTGCCTACGGAATAATAGATCGGGCAAGGAAGAAACTACAAAAGATTCTATCTTCAATAGTAAGCAATTGTCTTGCTCTAAAAGGAACTAAGAGGTAAGAGCTAGATTATAGCTCAAAGGATTGCGACGTTCATCAAAAATCCGCATGTCTGATAAGCAGCTATATGTAATCTTGTCCCACTAACGACTAAGCATTGGGGTAAGCGGAGGCTGCCCTCAGGAGATCTGTTTTTCATATTGGCTTCCTTGAATTGTTGATGATCTGGCGCAAATCTGGTTCAGCTTCCAGGTGGTCAGCGCCGTCTGATAGAGAACGCAAGTAGCCTTAAGTCCCTCGGGAGATCGTGTTAGGGAACAGGATTTGGTTGAGCCTGACAGGAAGAAGTGCTCCTCCTTTTCACTTCAAGGAAAGAAATAATGGATTCCAAACCGCTAAGCAGGTTTTCATAAAATCAGTAGAATTGGTCTCTCTAGAAGCAGCCGCGTAAGCACTGCGACAGCTATAAGGGGGTAGAAGACACCCTGTTACTCTGATTTTTGAACTTCAGAACGGGAAAAATCTCCTCAGGTAGATTGCTACACAAGCTCGACTCCCTAGAAACAAAGAAGCAGTCCTATCAACCAATACTGGATCCAAGAACTTCGACATGGTTAAGATGGGAGGCCGAAATCTGCCGGGTCTGTCTGGCAAGCATCATAGAGGACAGTTCGGAGAAACAAAGAGCAGTAGAAAAGCGCCAATTCGCTGACAGTCTGTCGGTACGATGGTGTTCTGAAAACGTCCGTTGAGAAAAGTCACCGATCAGTCGGACTGCCCTCCTGAACCGCATTGAGTATGGACAATGTAGTAAGAGTGGCAGGATCCCAAACATGTAAGTAGTATTCGAGGCTAGGCTTTAGCTGTGCCTTGTGCACACTGAGGATATTATGTTGAAAAAAGCAATTCATAGCCCCAAACAAATCTATCTTCTTCCCAGCAGCTGCCACGACTGTCAAGGTGTGTTCCTGCCATATCCAGTCCTCGGTGACCTGGATCATGGCCAACCGAAATGAACAGCTTTGTTGTAGAACTCGGCCAACTATCGACACCGGATGAGCGCTAGGGCGCTTCTTGTTAGTCAAGGTACATTACTGTGTTTTGGAAGCATTAAGTTGGACCTCCAGATCTCAGAGTAGGGACGCGCTTCCTCTGGCAGAGATCGGCTTAGCACTCTGCCTGCGTGCAGATTTCTCTCATCAGCAAATAACTCAAATGGGGAACAATAAGATAAACATAATATCTCATTTTCAGAAAGTTCCGCGATAACAATACTTCCTCGTCTGGTGGTGTAGGAAGTAAAAGTAAATATCAGAACTGCATCATGATCAAAACGAAATCTACAAACCATGCACCATCATATGATACAAGCGAAGATAATAGTAAAACGTCAATCGATTTTTATTTATTTTACAGATACGCCAATGGATGATCCAGTGATGACGGTAGATAAAGAAGTCGCCGAAGTGGGATCTGTGGTGAGAGGGAATTGCTCTGCCCCTGCTTCGTACCCTCCGGCTAATGTTACCTGGTACTTGAACGGCAGAAGGGTAAGTAGATATAAATTAACTGACAGGATTATCATGGAAAGCATTATAGCCAATTCACTGTTGATGAAATAACGCAAAAAAGCAAATTTGTTATTGTTTTACAAAAATTTTGACAGTTAGATAATGTATGCCTCAGAAATTTGTTCGAACGTTAAAGGAGATAATATACGGTAACTGTAACTCGAGAAAGTTTCACGATTCGGAGCACTTTCGGAGATTGCCAAATTAGACCCAATTATCCCAAAATTCTTTTTTATTCCTTCCTCGTTTCAGTTGAGGCGGAATTTTAAGAAATTGCTCAATTCTACTTCAAAATTGTCATTTTTTCTCCTCTGACAGATGAAATAATTAGAAGTTTCAATATGACGGTTTGTCTCTTGTCCACAATCATATAATTTATGTTTCCTTATAGACGCCGTATTGGATTTTCATATAGCCGAATAGAGTCTTTTATTCTGATTTCGAAATTGTAAATACGTCATCCGTTGATATTGCCAAACCTAATATTTACAGAGTTGGCGTTAAAAATGACAGCTTATCATTTATTTACTCAATTAAATTGCTGAATTGCTTCAGTTTTTAAACAGCGTATTTACAGAACACTCAAACAACATGCCCATTTGTTTACCATGACGAGCGTTACTTCAACACGACAAAGGATCTCTACATGGCATCTCAATCATATAATGATATTTTAAAATGTGTGTTTCGGTTAAGGTATGATGGATATGAAATGCTTTTAACAACCTGGTACATCCTTGAGACTCTAAGTTACTATAAGATGTTTCAATATTTCCATTACTACACTTGAACGATATCGTAACGAAAAAGCTGTCTTTACTATCCTGTCTAATTTATTACTCTAAACCAGTTTACAACACTTGCAACTGATCTATGACTAATTCAGAACCATGTCAACTGGAATATATGTTGATTCGTCGCTCACTGCTCGTTTACTGTATCGACCGTGACTGACTGCTTCCGCCATCTGGCCGGGTGTTTAGTCCCCTATCGAGTCAATAAACATTCCAGCGTTTTCGCGAAGTGGTCTAGATTGCAGCAGATTCATTTTCCGACGCGTCAAATATGTTCCATGACGTTGCGAACAGCCCAGAATGCCGTCACACTTCATATATGGTTGCCTCAGCATCGATCCCGCCCACAAACACACGAAACTGAAGAAGTGGAAGCTGCACGTTAAACGATAGCAACTCCGTTGACGTTTGTTTGATGACTGCGCCGTCTACTTGCCTGGCGATCTGCAGAAACTATCGAAAGAATGCCTAGAATGCGCCTGGAATAAGGCATGCCAGGGATTTCGTTTGTTCATAATTTGAAACAGGACAACGAGCGAAGGACCACAGAGCGACAAGACCGCTGGTTAAGACTTCTGGCTCTGTACACGAGCCATCGCTAATCATTGGTTTGAAGAGGATGGTTGGTATATCGCCGAATAAGACAGTTTAGCCTTTACCTCTCACTGCTGAACATCGACGTAACCGTTTGTTTATATAAAGTGGAGGCTGCTTAGCTGATGATCTTCACAATCTAATCACTATCTGATAATTACAAGGCCTTCCTAGGTTCTTTGGATTTTTTTAAATATTAGTGTATGACGTATTATACATAAGGGGAAACACAATTTATTATTGAAGGAGAGAGGCGAAAGGTCACATTGAAATTCTACTTGAGCCTTGTGGCTATATTAAGGTACAATTTATCTTAAAACCCCACCTCAAATAAATTCGGAAAGCATGAACACGATCTTATAAAATTCGGTTCTGTCCGCCTCTCTCCAAAAAAACTTTGACCTGCCGAACTTTGTAAAAGCTATTTTCTTAGTGATCTAAGTGCGCAACTTTGTTCCCATCTAACCGACTGCGTACCTCTGAACGTTTCCGATATCCCAATAATTAGAACTGAATTTGAAACACCCGGGTTATTATTATTATTTAATAGAATAGTAGAGCTCATGATGCCAGCTCTGATTTAAGGCGGCATCCCAAAATTATAGGAGATGACTCCGTCTACCTTACCCTGAGCGAAGACGACTTGTAAGGGTGGAAGGGAATCAATAACCGGATTCGGTTAACAACATTTTGGGGACGCTGTCATCCTTCGTCAAAACGGACAGACCAAATAATTTATCTAGAACGCAGACTTTCTGTGTGGCCTGAAGGGACCTGGCGGACTTAGTAGGGATTTTATTGTCACTGACAACTAGATGAGACTTCATAGTATAGTCAAATTATAAATGAAACGATGGCTAGAAGTGAGAAGTTAGAGGTACCTTTAGATAAATACTTCATACTAAGAATTTAGGGAATGGTTGAATACGAGGGATGTCTTTTAAGTTTCGTATATAGAAACATAGTAGGCCGCGCGGATCGAACGTCAGTACTGAATCTTAACCTCACTCTTTAGTAAACTTAAATTCAAAGTTTCACAACAATACGTGCAGTGTTCTAACTACGGTGAATTTTTAAGTATCACCAAGTCATTAGAAAAATGGAACTCAACCGAGAACATTTTCGCGCCATAATTTATTACAACTTTCAGAGACAATTATCGCAACAAGAATGCCTTGCTGAGTTAGTGTCTGTTTTCGGCAACGGAGCGCCACATCAGTCGACAATTTCCCATTGGTATGGAGAATTCAAACGTGGACGGATGAGTCTTAGCGACGATCCCAGGGTGGGTGCACCAAAAACGGCAGTCACCCAGGAAAACGTCGATGCTGTGCGCAAACTCATCATTGGAGATAGACATGTGACGTATCGCGAGGTTGGGGCGTCCTTGAAGATCTCAAAGGCCTCAATTCAAAAAAATTTACATGAAGAATTAGGAGTAAGAAAACTAGTTTCTCGTTGGATACCCCAAATGTTGACTGAAGAGCAGAAAGCAGCCAGGGTTAATTGTTGTCAAAAAACGCCTGACCGTTTCAATTCCGGAAACTCAGAAAATGTGTACAGCATTGTTAGTGGTGATAAATCGTGGATTTACTGTAATGAACCAGAAAATAAACGACAGTCGGCTGTTTGGGTGAAGAAAAGTCAACAAACTCATCCGTTCTCGAAGTGGTTCGAAAAAGATGGTCGCGACATTTGTATCAAAAGCGGGTCATATTGCAACAGTTCCTCTTAATGAGCAAAGAACTGTTACTGCGGATTGGTATACCACCATTTGTTTGCCAAAAGTCATCACCGAGCTTCGAAAAATCAACCCCGAAAGAAGAATCATCCTCCTCCAAGACAATGCAAGCACGCACTCAGAACAAAAAATAAGGCAGTATTTAACGGAAGAAAACGTGGAATTATTGGACCATCCTCCCGATTTAAGTCCTAACGATTTCTTTACTTTCCCGAAAATTAAAAACAGACTGCGTGGTCAACGGTTCCAGTCCCCAGAAGAAGCAGTTGACCTATTCAAAAATGCCGTTTTTGGATCTGCCAGCAAACGAGTGGAATAAGTGCTTCGAAAATGAGTTCGAGCACATGCAGATGTGTATTAATCTTCGTGGAGAATACTTCGAAAGACAATAAATTCATTTAAAACTACCCACCGTGTTGTTTTATTTCCATATGCGATACTTAAAAGACATCCCTCGTATGACTTCGGTAATTTGGATAACTTTTATAACAAATCTCTGCCATTCTTTCCCAAATTGTTATATTAAAAAACATTACTTTGACGATTTTTGAGTTTATCTACGACTGAGCTGTAAAGTGTAAGTAGATTTCGGGGAGCTGTCGTCCTTTTTGGATTTCTTCGCACCGAGACGGAACAGTGCGTAGGATAGGAAAGCTGCCGTTATTTGATCGAGTTCACAAAGATGGAAGATGCTACGTACGTCGACACAAAATTTATTTTTCGCTCATTTTGTCGATTTGGAACCAGATAAAATTGAGTTCTTACATCTATTGTGATATAGCCTGTATTGAACAATTGAATTTACATTTGCTTGTTACCGATATTTATCGCAAATGTGTTTTGCTGCGTTATCAAAAATCTACGTCAGGGAGCTCTTAAATAGATAAGATACTTCAAGGACCTGGCATCATGAACTCTACTATTTTTTACTCCGAAAAAGCAGGCAGAAGCCTAAATGCCAGGGCCACCGAGGCTAAGAGGACCTCAAAGAAACTTTGTTAATCAGATTGTTGGACTGTCTGACGTTAGTACAACTGCGAAAAGCCTCATCTTGTAGATTGTTCCACAATGTCGAGGCCCTAGGGACAAAGGAGCAGTCGTATCGACCAGTTCAAAGGTTATCAATCTTATTTCATCCAAATTCCACGGCAGTAATGTCAAAATTGAACGAAAAATTTCCACTGTCGGATTCAGTTATTTCTATTTCCTTGTATTTTTTTAAGTGCAACGCCGTGTCAGTAATTCATGATATATTTTATTATTTAATAACCATTTTACTCTTATCAATATTCTTGGATACTCCACTGCATAAAAAAAGTCTTGAAATACATAGTAAATTTACTTGAAGTATTTTTATAATAAACCACTTGTTAAATATGTTGAATGCGCATAATCATCAATCGTCATTGGTTTTAATTGTGTATTACAGTACGCGTGGTGACATATCCAGATATTCCAATAACTAGCTTACCGCGGACGGTGAATCAAATATAGGGATACATATTCAAACATGTATGGAATGTCACTTCATTGTATCGCATCGGGTATTACATACATTGAATTTATTGGATGCATTTTGTGCTGCATGTGGCTTACGTTTTATCTGTGAATGCAATATCCACTCTAATGGATCACATTATGCATGTGGGCGCGCTAAATGACGGCACGGGCTCATTGTTCAATTGTTGATTTTTAAACAAATTTTTGGTCTATTTCTCACACGTGGAGCTTATCGATAGAGCTGGTGACTTTGGAAGATACAATACTCTCTCCTTACTATGCTGTGATGCTATTTTAGTTTGGACGATTATATCCCTTTCAGACTTGGGGCGAACGCAGTACCAAGCTTG